AAAAAAATCCTACCTCCTTGATCACCTAACATGCATTTTTTAAATTACTTGTGATGTCAAGCATATTTTAATATAATTTTTGGCCATTTGTAAATTATTTGAGAAACAGATAATTCCAGAACCTTAAAAAAGGAACAGAAAAAACATGGTCCAAGTAGAAAGAAAGAACTGGAATTATCTGTCCAATTTTTCCAGTTCTGTTACTTTGTCATTCTGGATTTTTGGTTTCTGTTTTTGATTTTGACCCTGACTGAAATGTCTCAAATCATTCACCTTAAAAATAATATGTTACCACCCGGCCAGTGTGGCTCAGTGGTTGAGCATTGACCTATAAATCAGGAGGTCAGGGTTCGATTCTTGGTCAGGGCACATGCCCGGGTTGCAGGCTCGATCCCCAGTAGGGGATGTACAGAAGGCAGCCCGTCAATGATTCTCTCTCATCATTGATGTTTCTATCTCTCTCTCCCTCTCCCTTCCTTTCTGAAATCAATACAAATATATTAAAAATAATAATGTTACCATATGATTTCACTTATATGTGGAATCTGATGAACGAAATAGACTGATGAACAAGATAGGTCCAGAGCCATAGATACATGGAACAGACTGATAGATCTCAGAGGGGAGGGGGATGTGAGGGACTGGAAGAGATTAGTCAAAGAACATATATGCATATATGTATAGCCCATGGTTATAGACAATAATGTGGTGAAAGTTGGGGGAGTAGGTGGCTGGTGGAGGGGGTAACAGGGATGGTGGGAGACATCTGTAACTGTCAACAATAAAAGAAATAATTACATGTTACTGCCTCCTCACATCTAGTTTTGCTGAGAATGCTTACATATCATTGAACCCCATTAATTTCAACTACTGTCTTTCTCCCATTAGGCTATTTCAGGATGTTCTCTTTAACCACAAGTGTATGAAATGTAGTGACAATGTGCTCAGGTGTAGCTTTTGTTTTTGTCTTTTCCCCTTTGTCCTGCATGGCACTTTGTGGTCACTTGTAAACCAAGAACTTGTGTCTTAATTTTTTTTCTAAGTTCTGGGAAATTTTCAGCTAATACTTTGGTCAAATGTTACCTTCATTTTTTTTTTTTAGTCTTTCTATTCTTTTTCCCTGGAAGTTAATTAGGTATTTACCATCTATAGTCCTTGTGTTATCTTTTGCCTATGTACCATCTTAAAACTGGAAAGCCGTCCATGTTCACACCATATGGAAACAATCTAACATGTAATATTGATGATGTCTCTCTCATAGCTACCTCCACAGTTTTCTGGTTTCTCTGCAGAAAAATACAAAACTTTTGACTATCTGATCCCTGCTTCTCTCTCCAGAATTCCCTTGCCTGAGCCTTTCCTCCAACTCCAGCCGCACTTAGACATATATATTTTTATTATTATTTTTAATATATTTTTATTGATTTCAGAGGGGGAGAGATAGAAACATCAATGATGAGAGAGACTCATTGATTGGCTGCCTTCTGCACACCCCACACTAGGAATTGTGCCCTGACTGGGAATTGAACCGTGACTTCCTGGTTCACAGGTCACCTGCTCAACCCCTGAGCCATGCCAGCCGGGCATGATCACTCATTTTAAATGAATGCACCTCTCATTTACCTCTATTTGCTCTCCTGGAATGAACCCCTCCTCTCCAATGGCCTTCTCATGACTCTATCAACCTAATTTGTACTTGTCCTGCAGGTCTTGGCTATGACCTCGTCTCCCCAATGAGCCTTACGGGCCTGCCTTCCTCATGGGTTGGACGCCTTCCAGGGTCTCCTGTAGCACACCAAGGTCACTGCTGTTGTAGTATGTACCTCACCCCATTTTAACTAATGATCATCTCTCCCCACTATGGACTGGAAACTGCTGAGGGGCCGCTACAGAATCTTCATTGTTATAGTGTCACAGAGTCTGGGACATAAAAGTTGCGCAATTCCTATATTTTGATTTTTAAATGTTGAATGTGAGACAGGGAAGCAAAATAAACCAAAAACAAAACAACAGAAAAAAACAAAACAAAAAACAAAAGAAAACCCCCACTATCATTTACTGTTTTTGGAAGCCTGGTTTTGAAAGAAAGATCTTGGTTGGGTAGTAGCCAAAAGAGTTGTTCTGATCAAGGGTAGATTTTTTTTAAAAATGTATTTTTTAGAAGGAAAAGGAAAAGGGAAATAGCAACAACAACAGAAAAAAAAAACCAGAAGAAATTAAGTAACAGATGGAACATTACTTTTTTGCGGGGGGAGGGGGGAGAAGGGAGTGGATCAGAACCAATACAAGAGGTCAGCCTGAAAAAGGAGAAGGAGAGGTTCTTCGTCAGAAGAAAAAAGGGAGGTGAAAGGGAGAACTGAGAGCATTTTTAAATATGACAAAGTGAAGATTTCACCCCTGAGTATTATGCTCAGTGAAATGTCAGAGGAAGACAAATACCATATGATTTCACTTTTATGTGGAATCTAAAGAACAAAATAAGCAAACAAAACTGAAACACTTATAGACACAGAGAGCAGACTGATGGTTGCCAGAGAGGAGGGGGCTTGGGGGACTGGGTGAACGAGGTGAAGGGATTGAGAAGTACAGATTGGCAGTTACAAAAAACACAGGGCTGTCAAGTACAGCACAGGCACTACAGTCAATAATATTTTAATAACTGTGTATGGTGTCAGGTAGATACTGGAAATATTAAGGGGAAAACTTTGTAAAGTATAGGATTGTCTAACCACCACGTTGCACACTTGAAACCAATACAAAATAATATTGGATGTAAACAGTAATTGGAAAAATAGCAGAGCTTTCCATAAATATAAAGATTTATGGGAAGTTAACATCTATGCTACACCAAGAGTGGCTTTCCCGCTATCATAAAATAAACCAATTAATAATTGTACTTTTAAAAAATGTATTTCACCCCTGAGAGTTGAGACATTTTTCTGTGAAGTAGGAAGCAAATTCCAAGAACAGACCAACAGATGTGCCTGGCAACTGAGGACAGTGTTCGGAGTCTTGAGATAGCCATCAGGGGAGTCTGCCTTAGACACATGAGGACTCTCAACTCCTGCCGACAGCCCTACCTAGGAAGGTAGTTCTGCTTAAAACAAAAGGAAAATTTGTGACGTTCTCCTCTGAACGAATGGCTCACAGTAACATCAACTTTATAACAAAAATGACATTGAAGAAAACGATGTTAATGGAGGACCATGAAAAGCAGGGGATTGGTGATGCAGCCCACAGTGGTCAGCCTTGTCTAGATGGCTATAAAGAAAAGAGAGAACAAAACCAGCACATGATCTGTCTATGGTAGAGTTAAAGGTGGTGTAACTCTCTTTTTTCTTTTTCTTCTTTTGTTTTACTCTGACCTCCTCTTTTGTATCTACTCATCTGCTCTTAGGTCATAATCCTAATAAAAACCCAAGTTAATTAATAGCTTCAAAAACAACCATATTATGATAGTTTTAGCAAACTATGCCCAGTTTAATAGTTTAAAACAGTCATAATATATCTGGCATTGGTTATTCAGTACCTTGTAAACATATTTCTATAACAGTTAATAAAGTTATAACTTATAAGGCATACTAGCAAAGATTTCATTATATTGTTATGTAAAATGGTTGTTATGTGTTGTGATGTTATATATTTGAGCAAGACAGAATTTATTGCTTGAATTTTAGAAATAATTTACTTAAATTCAATTCTCACTATAATTTACTTTCATTTAAGGCTCCTAAACAAACTATAGATCATTTATAATAGATTTGGAAATATAAGGCTCCAATATAATTATGATATATGTAAAATATACAGATAAAGTATTTCTCTTAATAGCTTATAAAATGTGTAAGAAAAAGATTAAAGCACAAAAATAAATGAACAAATAGAAATAATTAACACAAAATAAAATGCAAACATGTGAAACTTCAACCTCACTATAAGTTAAAAAGTAAATTAAAACAGTTTCCATGTTATGTCAGCAAATATGCATATATCCCTAATTAGGAAACTATATGTACTATAATGACTTCAAGTATATAAAGAATAGATTAAAGAAGAGCTGAGTGTTTTTTTTTGGTATGGAGAAATTGTAGTGATTTTCTTATTCAATTTCTATACTTTACCCCATTATACAAATTTTCTTTGGTGGACATAATTTTTTGAAAGTTATATAACATACTAGAGGCCTGATGCATGAAAATTGTGCAAGAGTAGGCCTTCCTTCCCCTGACTGTCAGCACCAGCTTCCCTCTGGCACCCAGAACCTAGGCTTCACTCCGGCTGACGCAGGCACCTGGGACCCAGGCTGCCCTCACAGCCCTGGCTTCGTCTGAAAGGTCGTCCAGAAAGACGTCCGGTCTAATTAGCATATTATGCTTTTATTATTATAGATTACCAAAAAAGCAGCAAGAATACTGCTTGGTGTTAAAAAATTATCTGGTAATATTCAAAATGAAATTGCTATTGCTTAAGGGCAAAAATAAAATATGTAAAGACAACACAATTTTTTTTTAATTGGGAGTACAACAGATGTGCATGTGTGTGTATGTGTGTGATGTACACACTTGTGCATACACTTATATAGGATAAAAATCATTTTAAAATAACAGTAAATACAGAAAACACTGCTGATGAGGTGAAGAGGGAAATCAGCACTCACACAATCATAACACACTCAACAATTTCAAAATCGGAACAAATGCTGCGGTGATTCCCATTGTTTTCAAAAGGTTTGTTTAAACTGCTTTTCCAATGCAGGTGCTTGTTCCTTTGTGAGCTAAGGGGCTCCTAAACCTGTGGATTTCAAAATAATTTCTGAAAAGGTTTCAGAGGAAGGTTCTTGGGTCGTCCGTGGGTATTAAAGCAAACTCAGATCCCGGATGTATCATAACCTGGTGTGCAGCCATCACGGCGCCTCTAGCTGTGGATTACATTCCTCACATAGTTCAGCAAGATAATTGTTTAGTGAATGTCCTATTTCAAAAAAGTCACGCTTCAAAAAATTCCAAGTTTGTGGTTTTATTTATTCAAAACCCAGTGCCTGGTTCTTCAGATAACTTCATTAACACTTTCTATTGTCCCTAAATTTGAGGGGAAGAATAATTTTACAATGTATTCATTTATTAACTAAATATACAAAATGTACCCAATATTGATGCTGACAATTTTTAAAAATTATATAAAATGCAAATTATTACATATAACATAAGCTTATAGGACATCAGCAAGGAATGACTGGGTTTCATGGGTCGTCTGAATGAGAGAGGAGTTTCCATCTCATGGTTGTATCAACCTCTTCGTCAAAATTTCCCACCGTCTGCTCCTTAGAAAGCTCTACCAATACCTAAATAAGAAACAAACAAGAAGAAAAAAGAATTATTGAGTCGTTGACTGTCTTACACACAGGAACAATGTGTGTTACTGTCACGTGCAATTTACAAAGACCATGCAAAATCGTCAAAGTTGGCTCACCTTTTCCAACGTGCACTGAGAGAGGCTGTATTCCTCCAGGTTAAAATTATGTTTCACTGGGGGGAAAAAAGACTAGTAGTAGATGCTTATAATTTATTACCAATAATTTTTTTAAATCATATGAAATAAAAATGCAAACCATTCATATAAATGGACTATAGAGCTGAACAAACAAATGCTTGGTGAGATAAAGAAATAATGAAAAGTCAGAATATAAACACACATTGAATAAATCTTGATATTAGCATTTTCTCATATTACACATTGGTCACACATTGGTGTTTTATTACTTAGTTGATGTGTCCTGAGAGATACATAGGTTCCTGGAGGGACTTCATAATTGACTGATAGACTCTTACACATGGGGAAGATTTCAATCCCATTCCATTCCCTTTAAGAGGACCCACTACTTCGGTGGAACTGTGTGCTTCAGCCAGTTCATATGCTGCACCAGCTCTCCGCTGGGCATCCCCACCAGGAAATCTGCGTGAGAGTCGTCACCAATTTATATATTCATGTGTTCACAGTTCGCCATTTATACATTGAGAACCTTCCATGAGTGGGAGCCACCCTTAGGTGGCAGGGATAGAACTGTAAATGAAATAGGTAAAACAAAACCCCTGCCTTTGTGTAGTATGCATTCTATTGGGAGGAATATGGGCATTAGGTAAGTAAGCAATATATAATAAACATATTAATTTACATAAGTATAATAAAGTAAATGATAGCTACTATCGAGAAAAAATAAATCAAGTGCAAGAAATAGGAAGTGGAGGGCACTCTTTTTATAGATAGCTAGGAAGGGCCACATATTTTTATTGATTTCAGAGGGGGAGAGATAGAAACATCAATGATGAGAGAGACTCATTGATTGGCTGCCTTCTGCACACCCCACACTAGGAATTGTGCCCTGACTGGGAATTGAACCGTGACTTCCTGGTTCACAGGTCACCTGCTCAACCCCTGAGCCATGCCAGCCGGGCATGATCACTCATTTTAAATGAATGCACCTCTCATTTACCTCTATTTGCTCTCCTGGAATGAACCCCTCCTCTCCAATGGCCTTCTCATGACTCTATCAACCTAATTTGTACTTGTCCTGCAGGTCTTGGCTATGACCTCGTCTCCCCAATGAGCCTTACGGGCCTGCCTTCCTCATGGGTTGGACGCCTTCCAGGGTCTCCTGTAGCACACCAAGGTCACTGCTGTTGTAGTATGTACCTCACCCCATTTTAACTAATGATCATCTCTCCCCACTATGGACTGGAAACTGCTGAGGGGCCGCTACAGAATCTTCATTGTTATAGTGTCACAGAGTCTGGGACATAAAAGTTGCGCAATTCCTATATTTTGATTTTTAAATGTTGAATGTGAGACAGGGAAGCAAAATAAACCAAAAACAAAACAACAGAAAAAAACAAAACAAAAAACAAAAGAAAACCCCCACTATCATTTACTGTTTTTGGAAGCCTGGTTTTGAAAGAAAGATCTTGGTTGGGTAGTAGCCAAAAGAGTTGTTCTGATCAAGGGTAGATTTTTTTTAAAAATGTATTTTTTAGAAGGAAAAGGAAAAGGGAAATAGCAACAACAACAGAAAAAAAAAACCAGAAGAAATTAAGTAACAGATGGAACATTACTTTTTTGCGGGGGGAGGGGGGAGAAGGGAGTGGATCAGAACCAATACAAGAGGTCAGCCTGAAAAAGGAGAAGGAGAGGTTCTTCGTCAGAAGAAAAAAGGGAGGTGAAAGGGAGAACTGAGAGCATTTTTAAATATGACAAAGTGAAGATTTCACCCCTGAGTATTATGCTCAGTGAAATGTCAGAGGAAGACAAATACCATATGATTTCACTTTTATGTGGAATCTAAAGAACAAAATAAGCAAACAAAACTGAAACACTTATAGACACAGAGAGCAGACTGATGGTTGCCAGAGAGGAGGGGGCTTGGGGGACTGGGTGAACGAGGTGAAGGGATTGAGAAGTACAGATTGGCAGTTACAAAAAACACAGGGCTGTCAAGTACAGCACAGGCACTACAGTCAATAATATTTTAATAACTGTGTATGGTGTCAGGTAGATACTGGAAATATTAAGGGGAAAACTTTGTAAAGTATAGGATTGTCTAACCACCACGTTGCACACTTGAAACCAATACAAAATAATATTGGATGTAAACAGTAATTGGAAAAATAGCAGAGCTTTCCATAAATATAAAGATTTATGGGAAGTTAACATCTATGCTACACCAAGAGTGGCTTTCCCGCTATCATAAAATAAACCAATTAATAATTGTACTTTTAAAAAATGTATTTCACCCCTGAGAGTTGAGACATTTTTCTGTGAAGTAGGAAGCAAATTCCAAGAACAGACCAACAGATGTGCCTGGCAACTGAGGACAGTGTTCGGAGTCTTGAGATAGCCATCAGGGGAGTCTGCCTTAGACACATGAGGACTCTCAACTCCTGCCGACAGCCCTACCTAGGAAGGTAGTTCTGCTTAAAACAAAAGGAAAATTTGTGACGTTCTCCTCTGAACGAATGGCTCACAGTAACATCAACTTTATAACAAAAATGACATTGAAGAAAACGATGTTAATGGAGGACCATGAAAAGCAGGGGATTGGTGATGCAGCCCACAGTGGTCAGCCTTGTCTAGATGGCTATAAAGAAAAGAGAGAACAAAACCAGCACATGATCTGTCTATGGTAGAGTTAAAGGTGGTGTAACTCTCTTTTTTCTTTTTCTTCTTTTGTTTTACTCTGACCTCCTCTTTTGTATCTACTCATCTGCTCTTAGGTCATAATCCTAATAAAAACCCAAGTTAATTAATAGCTTCAAAAACAACCATATTATGATAGTTTTAGCAAACTATGCCCAGTTTAATAGTTTAAAACAGTCATAATATATCTGGCATTGGTTATTCAGTACCTTGTAAACATATTTCTATAACAGTTAATAAAGTTATAACTTATAAGGCATACTAGCAAAGATTTCATTATATTGTTATGTAAAATGGTTGTTATGTGTTGTGATGTTATATATTTGAGCAAGACAGAATTTATTGCTTGAATTTTAGAAATAATTTACTTAAATTCAATTCTCACTATAATTTACTTTCATTTAAGGCTCCTAAACAAACTATAGATCATTTATAATAGATTTGGAAATATAAGGCTCCAATATAATTATGATATATGTAAAATATACAGATAAAGTATTTCTCTTAATAGCTTATAAAATGTGTAAGAAAAAGATTAAAGCACAAAAATAAATGAACAAATAGAAATAATTAACACAAAATAAAATGCAAACATGTGAAACTTCAACCTCACTATAAGTTAAAAAGTAAATTAAAACAGTTTCCATGTTATGTCAGCAAATATGCATATATCCCTAATTAGGAAACTATATGTACTATAATGACTTCAAGTATATAAAGAATAGATTAAAGAAGAGCTGAGTGTTTTTTTTTGGTATGGAGAAATTGTAGTGATTTTCTTATTCAATTTCTATACTTTACCCCATTATACAAATTTTCTTTGGTGGACATAATTTTTTGAAAGTTATATAACATACTAGAGGCCTGATGCATGAAAATTGTGCAAGAGTAGGCCTTCCTTCCCCTGACTGTCAGCACCAGCTTCCCTCTGGCACCCAGAACCTAGGCTTCACTCCGGCTGACGCAGGCACCTGGGACCCAGGCTGCCCTCACAGCCCTGGCTTCGTCTGAAAGGTCGTCCAGAAAGACGTCCGGTCTAATTAGCATATTATGCTTTTATTATTATAGATTACCAAAAAAGCAGCAAGAATACTGCTTGGTGTTAAAAAATTATCTGGTAATATTCAAAATGAAATTGCTATTGCTTAAGGGCAAAAATAAAATATGTAAAGACAACACAATTTTTTTTTAATTGGGAGTACAACAGATGTGCATGTGTGTGTATGTGTGTGATGTACACACTTGTGCATACACTTATATAGGATAAAAATCATTTTAAAATAACAGTAAATACAGAAAACACTGCTGATGAGGTGAAGAGGGAAATCAGCACTCACACAATCATAACACACTCAACAATTTCAAAATCGGAACAAATGCTGCGGTGATTCCCATTGTTTTCAAAAGGTTTGTTTAAACTGCTTTTCCAATGCAGGTGCTTGTTCCTTTGTGAGCTAAGGGGCTCCTAAACCTGTGGATTTCAAAATAATTTCTGAAAAGGTTTCAGAGGAAGGTTCTTGGGTCGTCCGTGGGTATTAAAGCAAACTCAGATCCCGGATGTATCATAACCTGGTGTGCAGCCATCACGGCGCCTCTAGCTGTGGATTACATTCCTCACATAGTTCAGCAAGATAATTGTTTAGTGAATGTCCTATTTCAAAAAAGTCACGCTTCAAAAAATTCCAAGTTTGTGGTTTTATTTATTCAAAACCCAGTGCCTGGTTCTTCAGATAACTTCATTAACACTTTCTATTGTCCCTAAATTTGAGGGGAAGAATAATTTTACAATGTATTCATTTATTAACTAAATATACAAAATGTACCCAATATTGATGCTGACAATTTTTAAAAATTATATAAAATGCAAATTATTACATATAACATAAGCTTATAGGACATCAGCAAGGAATGACTGGGTTTCATGGGTCGTCTGAATGAGAGAGGAGTTTCCATCTCATGGTTGTATCAACCTCTTCGTCAAAATTTCCCACCGTCTGCTCCTTAGAAAGCTCTACCAATACCTAAATAAGAAACAAACAAGAAGAAAAAAGAATTATTGAGTCGTTGACTGTCTTACACACAGGAACAATGTGTGTTACTGTCACGTGCAATTTACAAAGACCATGCAAAATCGTCAAAGTTGGCTCACCTTTTCCAACGTGCACTGAGAGAGGCTGTATTCCTCCAGGTTAAAATTATGTTTCACTGGGGGGAAAAAAGACTAGTAGTAGATGCTTATAATTTATTACCAATAATTTTTTTAAATCATATGAAATAAAAATGCAAACCATTCATATAAATGGACTATAGAGCTGAACAAACAAATGCTTGGTGAGATAAAGAAATAATGAAAAGTCAGAATATAAACACACATTGAATAAATCTTGATATTAGCATTTTCTCATATTACACATTGGTCACACATTGGTGTTTTATTACTTAGTTGATGTGTCCTGAGAGATACATAGGTTCCTGGAGGGACTTCATAATTGACTGATAGACTCTTACACATGGGGAAGATTTCAATCCCATTCCATTCCCTTTAAGAGGACCCACTACTTCGGTGGAACTGTGTGCTTCAGCCAGTTCATATGCTGCACCAGCTCTCCGCTGGGCATCCCCACCAGGAAATCTGCGTGAGAGTCGTCACCAATTTATATATTCATGTGTTCACAGTTCGCCATTTATACATTGAGAACCTTCCATGAGTGGGAGCCACCCTTAGGTGGCAGGGATAGAACTGTAAATGAAATAGGTAAAACAAAACCCCTGCCTTTGTGTAGTATGCATTCTATTGGGAGGAATATGGGCATTAGGTAAGTAAGCAATATATAATAAACATATTAATTTACATAAGTATAATAAAGTAAATGATAGCTACTATCGAGAAAAAATAAATCAAGTGCAAGAAATAGGAAGTGGAGGGCACTCTTTTTATAGATAGCTAGGAAGGGCCACAAAAACAAGATCATAACTGAGAAGGAACCTGAAAGAAGTGAGGAAGCAGCTTGGAAATTTAGGAAGTAGAATTCCAGAAAGAAGGATTAGCAAGTGCAGAGCCCTAAGGCAGGAAGGAAGTCAGGGTGTCTAGAGTGAGAGGAGGAGCAAACCAGAGGTTTATATTATGTCAAGCACTGTTGGTGAGCCAGGCACTGTTCTAGGCTCTTCATAAATGAGCTCATTTAATCCTCCCAACAACCCTGCCATGTGGCACTGATGCTATAGAGATGAGCCATCCAGATGTGCGGGGATTAAGCATCTTTGTCCAGTGTCTCCTAGCTCGTAAGCAGCAGTGCTGGGATGGGAACCCGGAGAGCCTGGTGCTGGCGTTGGAGCTCTTTGCTACTATGCTGTGCTCGGAAATTCCACCATGATGGTTTGTTTTGGAGAACAACCCAGTGAAAAGTGGAAAAATGATGACAAAGACAGAAAAGGGACGATTTCAAGTGGCGAGAGAGTCATGCACAATGCAGGGCACAGCCTTAGCTGGAGACACAGGCTGTTCATGCATCTTTAAGGCAGAACACAGCACAGACACAGGGAAGTTTCCTGCTGCCTTTATTTTATGAGTGAAATATAAAGCAAGGAATCAACTGTGGGAGAAGAGCAGGAAGGAGACAGACATGCAAGGGGAGGGGGAATGAAGTAGGAATTCAGGACACTTGGTATGAATGGATTGTGTACACGTAAGCAAAGCAGACTGGACTAAAGGGCTTTCTGAGTTTAATGTTATTAATTCACATTAAAACCAACCAAGCACAATTGTGTGTTTTCTGCAGTTTCCATCTGCACTGGAAATTAACCTCTTTCCAGAGGCTTGGGTTAACAAAAACTGGGGTTAAATCCTGACCATTATGTACCATTAGGATTCTTAAGATCATACATATCCTACAGGATCTATTTTTTAAAATGTATTACACGATTATCTCCTATTAAATTACTATCCAAGCCTGAATTAATTCTTCAAAAGTTTTCTTGTAAAAATGGTCACTCTTACCTGCCTCTAATTTGTAAAAGGCCTGAGATAGAGGTTGAACATCTGCCACGGGCAGTTTATAGGCCAAGAAGGTGGAATACCTGGAAATAGGAAAATGTCATATTTGACCTTGAGTTTCAAGGAGAAAAAAAGACCATCAAAATAAATATTGATATTATCAGCAATTTCCTTTTTGAAATAAAAACAATGCAAATCAGACCTGGCCAGCTGGCTCAGTAAATTAGAGTGTCATCCTGTGCACCAAAAGGTTTCAGGTTCAATTTCCAGTCAGTTCACATTACCTAGGCTGGGGGTTCAATCCCTGGTTGGGGCACTTCCAGAAGGTAACCAATGGATGTTTCTCTCTCTCCCCCCTCTCCCCTTTTCTCTCTAAAAATCAATAAACATATCCTTAGGTAAATATTTAAAAAGTAGTAATGCAAATTAATGTAGTTCACATATGAAGTAAATAATCTAATTTACCAATGGACATTTCTTAAAATGACTTTGGTAGTTGGCTGTAGGAGATAATTCTCCTAGAAAGAATCCAGCATAATTATACTTATTCTCAGTTCACACAAACCTTTTTCTTGTTGAACATAGCTATTCTGAACTAATCCCTTTGGTAAATTCAAATTAGGCTGGAATTAATCTCACTCAATATTCCATCCTTGTCACCAGAAAGCTAAGAGAGATATGAGGTTGAGAAAGAGGGACATAATAGTGGGTGGGGTTCAAAAGGTTTTAACTAAAAAAACATCCCTGACCTCTGAGGAAAGAAGAGCCAGGACTGATGTTTGGCATCTTGCTTCCACATGCTACTTCTGGCCGTGTGACCTCATGCCCCGTTCTCAGCTCCTTCCTAAACAGAAGTCTGGTGCTCCCAGGTAGCTCCAAAGCTGCCCAGACTTCCAGGACTGGCCCTCTTCATCCCAGATGCTGCCCTTCCAGCCTTACCCTTCGTGATCTTCCCATCTACATCAAAACTTCTCAGGTTTGTGACACCAAAGGTCTAGGAATAGGACTATTACAGGCCCTGCCATAGACCTCAGATAGTGCCATTATATTTATACTGTGTTAAAATGGAAATAGCAGTTATGTTCTGCATCTCTGGGGTGATTATCTCTCCAAAAAATTTCAAATTCAGTTCCTGCTCCATCTCCTTGCCCCCCTCCCCACCAATAACACACACACATACACACACACACCTATTCTCCATTTTGTGTCATGAAAACTTCATTAGTGGACAACTCTTTGATTATCTCAGTTGTTATTTGTTTCCTATGAAGGGAACTTACCCTAAACAGTTACATCTTTTAAATTATAAATACTAATTGGAGGCCCAAGGAGGATGCCATGGGCCTGACTGTGGCCCTGTGTGGGTTTTAATAATCAGAAATCCCCCCAATTTTTCCAAGTCTTCTGCCAGAGCTGGGGATCAGCCATGGATGGCAGCGGAGACCCATGAAGGGTGTCCCCAGGCTCCCCTGGGGGATACAGCTATCTGGGTAGCTCCCAAATCTCATCATCTGTAAGACTCAACAAGTCCGTTTTTGAGGCCCCAACTTTCATTATGAAGTCACCCTGACATTCTCTCAGAGCAGAAAAGGAACCATCGAATGGGTAAAGACAACAGGTTTCTCCATAATCAGAAGCTCCATTCACCTTTCCTGCAGGGCAGCCTGTGGGAAAAGCTTCAGAATCTCAGTGTGGACCAAAGTGACTTGAGAAGCTTCCTGTACTTTTAGTTCTAGAATGTAATCCTTGCCAAGTTTGTTTTTCAGGTGTTGGATGGAGCCAATGCATCTATGGACAAGAAAGAAAACATGTTGGAATGAATATCGGCTCTGAAATTTTTTACATTATTTCTAAATTTCAAATATAAGGGAAAGGGCATCACTGGGGGAGCTGAAAAGAAGAACTCCATCTGGTGATTGTCTCCTTTTCATAGGGAATCTCATTTTTGGGGGGTCAAGTGAAGACTATGGAAAGACACCCACCTCAGCCTTCCAGACACCATGATGGCGATGCGGTCACAAAGGGTCTCGGCCTCCACCAGGTTTTGGGTGGTCAGGAGGGCCCCCTTCTCTGTGTTTTTAATGGTTGACTGAATCATGTGCCTGAAGTAAACCATTAAAATCAACACCATTAAAAAAAGAGCATGAGGTGGGGGGGGGGGGATGAGATAAAGGGGAAATTTCATAGGCAAAATACAGTTTATGAATCATATTTAGATCCTAATTTTAAAAAGAGAGAAATGTGACTACTGATTAGGTTTTTATAGCATAAAGAAGGTTTTAAAATATTTTTATTATTAAATTATTTATTAACATTTAGGAGTGATTCTGGTTAAGTTAAAGAAAAATTCCAGCCCAGCTGGCATGGCTCAGTGGTTGAGCGTTGACTTATGAACCAGGAGGTCACAGTTCAATTCCCAGTCAGGGAACATGTCTGGGCTGTGGGCTCGATCCCCAGTAGTGGGAATGCAGAAGGCAACTGATCAATGATTCTCTCTCATCACTGATGTCTCTCTCTCTTCCCCTCTCCCTTCCTCTCTATAATCAATAAAACTATATTAAAAAGAAAACCCTTATATCTTTTGTAGAAGCTAACTGAAATATTTATCAATAAAGGACCTGCTGCCTAATATTTGCTTCAAAATAACTGGGGAGTGGGGAAATGAAGTGGGTGGAGGTATAGATGGAGAAATATTGACCTTGTGTGGATAACTGTTGAAACTGGGTGATGGGTAAAATGTGTTCATAAATGATTCTCTTTACGTTTGTATAACATGTCCATAATAAAGTTCTTTTTAGAGATCGGACAGTCACAAATATGAAACTGAATTGGAAAATTTTTTTTAAATATATATTTTATTGATTTTTTACAGAGAGGAAGGGAGATGGATAGAGAGTTAGAAACATCGATGAGAAGGAAACATCGATCAGCTGCCTCCTGCACACTCCCCACTGGGGATGTGCCTGCAACCAAGGTACATGCCCTTGACCGGAATCCAACCTGGGACCCTTGAGTCCGCAGGCCGATGCTCTATCCAGTGAGCCAAACCGGTTAGGGATGAATTGGAAAACTTTATTAGTCCAAATGGAAAGTCTCAGATAGGAAACTAAAAAGAATTTAAAAACTAAGAAAAGTTATATAAACAAACTTGACAGATTAGGTAACAGGGTGGGGGGAGGAAATGGGGAAATTATGTCACTAACTTAATAGTTTCTAAGGAAATAGTTATAGACATCTCAATAAGTAAAAGACAAAATCAAAATACACTCCAAATTGCAATACCTAAAACTCCAACAAAGTCCTTAGAGTGCTTTTGTTTTTGCTGTTCTTAAAAAATGTGAATACCACATGAATACGCTACATTAGCGAATCTAGAAGGGTTGGGCAGAGGGGTAAGAGATCAACCAAATGACTTGTATGCATGCATATGAGCATAACCAATGGACACAGACACTAGAGGAGTGATAGCAGGTTCGGGGAGGGGGGGAGGTCAATAGGGGAAAAAGGAGACATATGTTCTACTATGTGTAATACTTTAAACAAAAATAAAAAAATAAAAAAATAAAAAATGTGAATACCACATGAATACGCTACATTAGCGAATCTATTTGTTCAATATTTGTTTTCCTAATAATATGGAGTATCTTCACTGAACTGGGAACCCGTGGATTTGCTTTTCTATGACCAGTTTAAGAATGCAACGTACACATGAGGTTTCTACTGCTGGCTCTGAGGGGGACAGTTCTCACCACATCTGCTGCTGTCCTGTAGGATCCACGCCTGTAGATGGTTCATCCAGGATCAGGATGGGCGAATTACCCAGGATGCTCAGCACGAAACACAACTGAAATGCAGAGAAACACCTCTATCTGCTGCCAGCACCACATCCGCCCTCGGGATAGCAGCACACACCACACATACCTTTCTGGTGGCTCCTGGCGTTAATTTCTGCACCGGGACATTCAGCTCTTGGTGCAGTTTGAAGGCATCCACCAATCTGATGGGAAACAGGAAGGGAATGGGGAAAAGGTCATCACAGGGAAGAGGAACAGCCTTCGGGGGAAGCTGGGTGCTATTGTTCTCAAAACTCTTTAACTCTAATGACCAAGGGAAAGGACAGTTTATTTCAGAAAGGGAAAGATTTTTCATCTCGTAAACAGGTTTTAAGAGTAGCTAGAATTCTGTTAGGAATGGAAATGGATGGTCATTCATTCACTTGTCAAAAACAACCTTTGTTGTCTGGCTGGAATGGCTCAGTGGGTGAGCGTCGGCCTATGAACCAGGAGGTCATGGTTCCATTCCTGGTCAGGGCACATGCCCGGGATTGTGGGCTCGATCCCCAGTGTGGGGCGTGCAGGAGGCAGCTGATCGATGATTCTCTCTCATCATTGATGTTTCTATCTCCCTCTCCCTCTCCCTTCCTCTCTCTCTAAGTAATTAAAAACATATCTTGAAAAAAAAAAAAAAAGAAAGTACTGGTGCTGCCAATTCAGCATCAGAGTACAGAGGAAAAGAGTACTTTAAAAAAAACAAAAACAGAAAAAATAAAAACACAGCCCTTGTCTGACATCCCTGCTCTACCACCGACACCCTCTGAGAAGGGGAGATGTCTTTTCTACTCTACACTCTTCATTAGTGGATTCATCATCAATGGATAGCCTCCCTGCCTCTTGACACAAGGGGATCGCATGACTGTACCGTGTGATGGCGACTGCGGCGTCCGCTTTCCTCAGCCCTTTCACTGCAGCGAACAGGTCCAGGTGCTCCCTCACCGTCAGGGTGGGCCACAGCGCGTTCTCCTGAGGGCAGTACCCCAGGAACTTGACCGAGCCATCTCCCCAAATTGAATTCCATCCTTTCAGTTCCACCTATGAAAGTAAATTGGTCTTAGAAATACGTGTAGCCTTTTCTCCAATCACATAATCACTCAAGAAACTGACATGTAGCTAATAAATGTCTACATTTTTTTGAGCATCGAAGAAATATTTCTAGAAATCACTTTCTAGATTTATGATTAAAAACTTTTTTAATGACTCAAAGCGTAGCCATACAAAGCTATGGTCTATATTTATTGTGAGATTTCTATTCTTGGAATGGATAGTGTTTCTTCATTTTTTTTTACTACCTCTCCAGCCGTTGGCTTTGTGACCCCAGATATCATTCTCAGAGATGAACTTTTACCAGCACCACTGGGTCCCAGCAATCCCAGTACTTCACCTGAAAGAGAATCATTGATTATTGGAAGTGAAATAATCAGAACATTAACAGGACATAAATCAGAAATAATCAGAAAATAAACATAAAACTGTTTCTCCAATAACCTTCTTTAATAACCCCTCAGTGCCATTTTGAAATTTATAACATATATGTAATCCATGTCACCAAAACATGCTCTTCAACTCCTATAATTATGTAATGTATTCATGAAAAGCTTATGAATTTGCTGTCAATACCACTGTTCTTTTTTAAAAACTTTTTTAGTGAAAAATGTGCCCAGATTGTTTCCTAGAACAGGTGGCTGATGTGCTGAGTAGATGGGTTAGTGGTTCCTAAACTTGGGAATTCAGGGACATTTTCTCCACCCCAAATTCCACCGCCTGTGTTCAAGCCATCTTTCATTGGAACTGATACAAAAGGCTCTTAATCTGTCCACGACACAAATTTATGAGCAAACAATTAAGTGGGGTTTTTTGTTTGTTTGTTTTTGTTTTTCAAAACACAAATAATTGTGACAAACGCTGGCTGAAAACCCTCCCGTAGCATTCCAATAACTTGATGTAAAACCCAAATTCTGTGCCAGATCTCACAAAGCTTCACCTCATCTGGCCCCGCCCGCCTCTTTGATTTCACCCCTTCCATCTGCAGATGCAGCCACTGGCCTCTTTGTGTGGGTCTCCAACACGCCAATGGCATCCCCACGCCTGAGCCCCTGCCCTCGCTGTTTCCTCTGCCTGGGGTGCCCTTCTCTCTTCGTGCTTACACAGCTGGCACCTTCTCATCACCCAGGTTGTGGCTTAATTGTGGCTGTTCAAGGAAGGTCCTTCCAAACCCTAAGTGAAAGCCATACATATCATTCCACATATTTGCATGTTCCACACAGAACTTGTCTATGTGACCTTTGACATTTTTCTTAATAGGTTATTTTTTCAAAATATGTTCAAAACATGTTTTGAAAAACAAAGAAAGTACCGGCGCTGCCAATTCAGCAACAGGGTACAGAGAAAAAGAGGGCTTTTAAAAAACAAAACGGGGGGAAAAAAAACCCAGCCCTTAGGATATATAATGCATGAGGACAGGATCTTGCCTATTTCCTTCATAATTATATTTTCAGAGCCTAAAACAGTCCCTGGAACACTCAAAAAATAGATCATGTCCCCAAAAATGTATACACACACCATGACTAATTATGAAGGCAGTGCTTATTAAAATAGATTTCATTTAAAAAATTGAGCCATCTGCTGTTACAGCGTTTATACATTTTTTGGAGATGCCCTATATATGTTAAATGAAAGAATGCTTCAGCAGGTACAGTGGTGTCTACAACACAGATGTTCACTGGGTATTTCTAAAAATGATGGTGAATAAAAAAAAGGGGTTCTTCCAAACCTTTTTTAACACAGAAGGAAATATTTCTTGTGACTACCTTCTTCTTCTTCTTCTTTGAAAAGCAATTTTTCTTCGGGCCGGCATATTCTTTGTGTAGACAGCTAGCAATGATGACGGGTTGCTGGAATAGATGACCATGTGATTTTCCTCTGAACCTTCAGAGATTCTGTGCTCCCATGTTCTCTCTAATGGAGCCCTTCGCGCCTTATGCCATGAACCAAATCAGATGCTGAGTTGAGGGTGGTCCTACTGCTTGTTTCAAATGCAACATGCAGCCAGACTGGCGTGGCTCAGTGGTTAAGCATCGACCTATGAACCAGGAGGTCATGGTTTGATTCCCAGTCAGGGCACATGCCCAGGTTGTGGGCTCCATCCCCACTGGGGCACATGCAGGAGGCAGCCAGTCAATGATTCTCTCTAATCACTGATGTTTCTATCTCTCCCTCCCTCTTCCTTCCTCTCTGACATCAATACAAATATTAAAAAAAACAAAACACAAAACCCAAACAAATGCAACATGCACTCATTAACGTTTCGTGCTTCTGAAAGGTCTGAGAAAAGCAGCATCATTTCATGGAAGCTGGCTCACTGCCTTCCCAGAACAGAAGTGTCTGACCTCATGGGAATATCATGGCATCTAAGTCAAAGAAATGAATGACGCTTAAAATTTCAATCTCTCTGTAGGATTCTAGAACAAATGTCACTCAGGTAAATTCCTCAACTCGTGAAGTTTTTGGTTCTGAAAATGATCAAAGTCCATTTTTATCAAAAGAAGAACAGAGCCACTTGCTTTGTACATGTCTTGGAGCTTCCAGGACACCCCCAAGAAGTGGGAGTGCTGAGAACGGTTAAGAATCATGAAAATGCACCCAACGCTCAACTTTCAAAGTGAAAATCGGCACATCAACCTCTACTGTGGATAGTTTTTGGATAGTGCCATTAACATGCCCTCTGTCCCGTGGTTTTCTACCTCCTCTATGCTGGAAGTGGTCATCAGGGCCGTTGCTGTTCTCGTTCTTTCTGCTTGAACATCTTCGTCTTCATCGATAGGTTCCTCTGGATTTGGCCGGGCCTCTCTTCTTTGGGGGGAAATTCTGTGACAAAGGGAAATGTATATGCCCTGTGATTTTTCCATTTGTCAAAGATGGATCGCGAATCAGCCCCTGGTGATATGACCACTGCCCCTTTCTTTCAATAAACTGGTGATGACCATGGCCCTGTGCATACTGCCTCTGCTTTTGCCCAAAATCCCCAACCTGGTAACCAGAAACCCTTTGTCCGTGTGGCTCCCATTCTTTCAGTTAGCGTCGTTGACCCTTTCTAATTTGTTGACAAGGACCCGTGCCTCTTTAAAAATGTCATCTACATTTTCTCTGTTTACTCTGAGCCCATCTAATCAGCCCAACATTTGCCTTAGCATTTCTTATTGTTCACCCTTTTTGGAGTTCCCTCCACTCCCCCAATA